AAAAAAAAAAAAATACTTTTTTTTAGAAAGTCAAAGACAGAATTACCGCAATGGCTTGGCAGTTTTGCTCCAAGGTCTATGTCCACAAGAAACGTGCACAGCATTTTTATGAGTGCTTGAGACTTGAACCCAGGCCCTCATGTTTGTAGAGCAAGGACTCTTAGCCACTGAGCCACTGAGCCACCTCTTTCTGGTTCCGTGATCTTCATCAACACAAAACATCAGGAAAGGTGCCAAAGGGAATAACATGGAAGACGTTCTTTGGGCAAGGCTATGTGGTTCAGTGGCAGAACATAACCCGGCATATGCAAGTCCTCTGCTCTGAAGTGCATTTCTCAGACTTCCTAGGACATCGTGTAGAGCAGGAGACACAGACACAGCCGGTCTCTGGCTCAGCATCCTTCTCCACACAGCTCTGCTCCGTTGCGTACATGCAGGGGTTCCCTCATTGCCCACACAGGCATCTTCCATCATTGGCTAAGCTCCATCTTCACCCTTAAAAGGAGCATCGCCCGCCACACTCCCTGGATCAATACCAATTGCACAGTTGGGAACAAACCCAGGAGGTATTCGATAAACTCCAGGAGCTGTCTTGAGACCATTCTTCTAAGAATTCCAATCTTCCACACTTTATAGCACAATCTAGAAGCTGGCGGATATGGGGTAACACGGGCTCTTCAGACGATTAGGGTGTCTTCGCCAGTGTGTTGGATCTGTCTTGGTTTGAGCAACAGACATCTCAGTGTGTCAGCATGCTAATGTGCTAAGCTTTTGCAGCACAGGAAAGAGTCTGGGGTCCCAAGCTGAGGGCTACAGGTGACCAGTGGATCTGGCATACATTATCCACCTGCACGGTCCTTGTCACCCAGGCAGTGATGTTGGCACCAATGACCCGTGGTTCTGAGCAGAGGCCCATGCATCGTTCTCTGCGGGAGGTGACTAAAGCTTGCCACCTCGGCATGGTAGCCCAGCACGGCCAGCCTTTCACTCTGAGCGTGGGCTCACTGCTGGGCTGTGTGGAGACACAATGAATTTCATCATTCACACTGTGAATGCTGCAATTACATTTTCTATACTCTTCCTTGTTTAGTTGTTTAAATAACTAAAATGCCAGCAAGCATGTACATATGTATCTTATTTGTGTCTTTGACTAGTCACACTATGAATCACTACTGTCAATGCTAATTGACAGATGAGATTAAAATAAAAGAATTCGTGTATTAGAAATAATGATAAAACAATAGGTATTGCATAGTAATTCATTTTAGAATAAATAGAACAGTAAATAATTTTAGAATATTTTGGCTGGGAAGGTTGTGTGCCCCACTGGCTTTAAAATGTTGGTAGTTTTAAGAGAAAGTCTCTGGCCCACGACTCCCGGCACAACCAAAAGCCATTCCCATCTCTAACGTTGGCTAGGCTTGGGGTCAGAGTGCAAAGGGATGTTGGCATGTAAATTCTACACACATGTCACGGTTACAGGGCAGTGTGGCCCAGTGAGAGGACTGCAGCCCGGGGGGCCATTGATGTACTCAGGCTCCTGCAGGAGCTTTCCCACAGAGCACAGTAACATTGCCCACAGGTACCCATCTGAAAGAGAGAACAAAGCCGTTTGAACAATTAAAGGGAAGCGTGCGATGGGGTTGGTATGCCAGCTCTGCACAGAGGCACGCGGCCCCAGAGATGTGTGAGTTTATAGAACAAATGACTTTGCAAAAAAAAAAAAAATTCATTTATTTTTTGATGCTGCTTACACTCAAGAAATCAGTTTTTAATGTTCGTAGGAAGCAGATGCTAAACTGCAGCCGCTAACTGGCGATGGCGTCTCCGACAGCAGTAAAAGCCGACTTCTTTATTAAGTTTACTGTTAAATGAGCAAAGGAAGGCAAGCATCGCCCCCCTCGGCAAAGCAAAGACAACATCTGTGGGGGGGGGGGGACACGGGGGTATGGCAGTCGGGGTGGGCTCATGCTTCTGGAAGCAACGATTGCCTGGTGCGTACTGAACATTTTATCCAAGATCTAAAAATGAAATCAGATCTGGACTCTGATCCTGAAATGCCCCTTTTTTCCCCTTCCTTCTTCCTGTCTCCTTCCTTCCCTCTCCCCCGTCCTTCCTCCTCTGTGTTCTGAGGATGCTGTGAAGGATGAAGCCTCATCCGTGGAGACAGGGATAGGCCTCGAAGGTCAAAACTGTGAGCACAAGGCCCTCTCAGCCCGTCTCCCGTCACCAATGCAGGACACAGGAAGACACTGCTCTTTAGGAGGTTGTGTCCACACACAGCTGGAGTTAGTCTTGATTCTTGTCTCTCTTCCCTTCCCCTTTTTCTTTCTGGAGGGGCTTCACTTTAACACTTATTTGGAAACAATAAAGGACAATTTTCTTTCTTTCCTTTTTTTGTTTGTTTGTTGGTTGGTTGGTTTTGGTTTTGGTTTTCTGAGACAGGGTTTCCCTGTGTAGCCTTGACTATCTTGGAACTCACTCTATAGGCCAGGCTGGCCTTGAACTCACAGAGATCTGCCTGCCTCTGCCTCCCAAGTGTTGGGATTAAAGGTGTGCGCCACCATCGCCCGGCATGAATGAATGACAGTTTTCAAATGAGCCAGAGAAGACTTGGCTTTGGGATTTGGACTTGTTGCCCTGGCTTGGCACTTTGAAAGCTGAGAGAGCTGTGTCCCTCATAAAGGCCAACTCAGAGCTAGCTCAGGAGTCAAGGCAGACTAGAGCTGTAAGCACCATCATACTGCCTAGCTTTATTGCTTTAATGCTCTTGTTGTCTGGTTATTAAAATCACATTGAGTCTTTGCTACTCTTCTTAAAAATAACCAAAGCTAACTCCAGCTGTGTATGGACACAGCCTTGTAAGGAACCAGTGCCTTCCAGTCTCCTGCATTGGTCACAGGGTCAGCTTGGGCTGAGAGGGCCTTGTGCACACAGTTTTGACCTTCGAGGCCTAGCCCTGTCTCCACAGATGAGGGTTCATCCTTCACAGCTTCCTCAGAACATGAAGTTTATACATTGGTTAAGAGACTCTATGCTCAGGGCTGGGAATGCAATTCAACATTTGCCTAGCATGCTCAATGCCCTAATGTTGACCTCACAGTTGTAAGGATTTAAAAATAATAAATAAATAAAAGTGGGGGTAGAGAGAGAGGGCCCCACAATTAAGAGCACTTACTGCTCTGGAAGAGGACCCAGTCTGGTGCCCAACATCCTCATCAGGTGGTTCACAACCACCTGGAACTCCAGTTCCAGGGGATCTAATGTCTTCTCCTGGCCTCTGTGGTCACCTGCACTAACATGGCTCACATACAGACAAGCAGGCACACACACACACACACACACACACACACACACACACACACACACACACACACACACACACGGTGTGTCTACCAGTATGAGTGGCACAAGCTGGAGAGAATCCAGGCTTTTCAGCCATATCAAACCACACCCTTGCCATGTTCTACCTCCAACACACCCAAGTGAGGAACACACCTGAGAAATGCACCTGCCCCCCCTCACACTTCAAAACACACCTTGTCCCAGACTCTATTCCTTCCTTTATATCCACCCTCAGGCTTGATATCTTCATTTCATAAGCAAGAAACCACAGATCCATTTCTTTAAGGGACTGATTGAAAACCACATTGTTTCAAAAATGAGAACCACAGAATTGGAAACCAGGTCTTATCTTGAAGGCCCCACTCTTTGAGAACAGCAAGAGGTGGGGGTATGGAGCTAACTATTCTCTATCCCAGATACTTCCTGGACCCACAGCACCCATGGTTCACCCCAGAGAAAATTCGGGATGAATAAGTACATCTGCACCCTTATGGTGGCGCTGCAAAAGAGATTTCAGCAGGAGACAAGGATGTTGGGTGGAGAAGAATGGCTCTTTTGAGACATCATAAGCTCAGCCTTTGGGACTAAGGCTCTAGATGGAACTAGAGATGAGGGCATTATTAAAACCTATGCCGGAAAGAGGACCAGCAACAGCGGTGACAGAGAAGCCTGACACTGAGTCTTTGAGAAGTCTTTAGCCTAGCCATGTCTACCTCCTGACACTGAGTCTCTGAGAAGTCCTTAGCCTAGCCATGTCTACCTCCCAACACTGAGTGTCTGAGAAGTCCTTAGCCTAGCCATGTCTACCTCCTGACACTGAGTCTTTGAGAAGTCCTTAGCCTAGCCATGTCTACCTCCCAACACTGAGTCTCTGAGAAGTCCTTAGCCTAGCCATGTGTACCTCCCGACACTGGGTCTCTGAGAAGTCCTTAGCCGGATGGATCCCAGAGGATATGAGACAGGAAGAGCCCCGATGCCTTGGTGTAGGACCTGGTTTGAGCCCCCTTTTGGAGCTAGCCTTTTCTTTCCCCCAGGTACTGGAAAGTAGAGACCCTAAGCCCGTCTCATGTGTCCTGTGGTCATAGGAACTATGGAACAGCAGGACTATGAAAGGCTTTTTAGACAGGATGAACTGAGTTGCTAAGTCCGCCTGACCCAGATCCATACAGGGGACAAACAATTGGAAGAGGCTGGGCAATGATCAAATGGTCCTCACCTATGCTCTTCTCCTAGGCAGGACCATGGAACAAAAATCTGATGCAGGTGTGTGTACACATACACACTGGAGAAGTGGGAAACCCTAATTAGTGGAACTGACTTTAAACTGGTGAGCTCTGAGTTTTCTGCAACCAGGTAGAATAAGACTTTGAGCTAGAAACTTCGAAAATAAAGGCTACATTTATTTTTATCCGAAACATGTGGACTTACTATTTATTCCTATGCAGCTCGTTTGCTTTCAAAGGGTCAATTAAAACATTTTTCAAATACACATTCCAGTGTCACTAGGAAAAAGAAAAACATTGTCCTAAAAATAGAGCAGAGAGTTAAAATAGAATTGGCCATGAATACGCCAAGTAGGGAAGACACATCGGTTCCAGATCAGTAGCTGAGGTCCCCAGGCTGGTGACTTCGGGTTTCTTTGCTCAGCACCACATATCTCCACTGGAGCATTTAACCCCCGTGATGAATTCAGTGTGGGCAGGGAGGAGAAGGCTGCCTCGGGTCCCAGAAGGTCCCTCCCAAGTCTCTGTACAGGAGTACAGTAGAGTCTTAGAGAAATAAGCGAATCTACTACAGCCAGCTTCCTGCTGTAGTGGTTCCTGCTTCCTGGTGCTGGGGAGGCTGAGATGGGAGGATTGCCTTGAGTCCAAGGCAACCTGAGCTAGAACATAGTAAGACCCTGCCTCAAACCAAAAGCCAAAAATAAACCAAGAGGAGGAGGAAGAGGAGGCAACCATCATCATCGCTATTGGTGGCGGTGGCGGCAGCATGACTCAGTGACTCGCTCCTATACATCCCAGCTACTCAAACACTAAGGCTAGCCTGGGCTAAACAGCTCAGCACCAGCCCAAGCAACTCCTAAGACTTTCTTTCAAAATCAGAAACACAGAGCGGTGGGACCGTAGCTCGGCGGTGGGGCAGCTGCCCGGTATGTGCGCAACCTTAGATGCCATCTCCAGAGGGCAAGAGAAAAGAGGTGAACGGAGCCTGTAACAGTTGGCACATATGTATACCCTCAGAAGGCTGAGGCAGGGGGATCACGGGTTCTAGTTGGATGCTGATCTGGGGTACATAGTTTGATCCTGTTTCAAGGGAGGAAAGAAAAGGGGAGTAAACAAGGGAGGACCAGAAAGGAGTCAGTAGAGGGGAATGAGAGAGGGAGGGGACAGGGAGGGGAGGAGGAAAGAGGTCCAGGGGAAGAAAAGATGAGGTGATATGCTCAAAGGCAACTTGATTCCTTTTCAATTGAGCTTGGATGTCTAGGACTTGCCCACCGAATGGAGACATGGCTTCAGTTCTCTGCTATGAGTGAGGCAGGGGGATTGGGCAGGGCAGAACGGTTTCTAGCAAACAAAGTGGCTGGGGCTGGGCTGTGAATGGGAACCACAGTTTAGGAACAAAGATCATGGTGTTCTTGGAGCAAAAGTACGCTTGGGTTCAGGCAGAGTTCTGGTCCTGGCTCTGACTCCCACGGGCCCTAAGCATAAGGATGCAGGATGTGAACTGCTAAGCACAAGGGTGCAGGATGTGAACTGCTAAGCACAAGGGTGAAGGATGGCCTCCACGGTCTTCTCCCTGACGCTCTTCAGGAAGCTCAGCACTGCGGTGCCCCCAGTGCCCCTGTCCTCCGGGGCATGGGGTGAGGGATGGCTCGGCATCCTGCTCCTGGCCTTGGCAGCAGCGGAGATGATGTATCGTGCCACCACGTTGATGTGGTAACTGCGCAGCTCGACCAGAGCCTCCACGCACTGGTTATAGGCTATCAGGCAGGACCCGGCCCCGGAGGTCAGTATGTGGTCCCTCAGTGAAGGAGCTGAATGGAGGTCCTCCAGGAAGGCCTTATGGGAAGGAGGCATGTAGTCTCTCATTCTGTGCAGAAAGCCTACTGAAAAGAAACAGCCCAGAGTAACACCTTAGCTCAAGGTCGACGTTCAGGACCCTTTGCCTGCTGCTCCAGAAATGTTGGGTAGGGTTCTCACTCAGCCTAGTCGGGCTTTTGTTACAGTTGCCAAATGCTCAGATGTACATTTCTGGATGTTGACAGGAGATGCAGAGGAGAAGAAGAAGCAAGCATCTCTCAGATAATAAAGTTGGACAGGAATCTTACTCGGCAGGGTGTACGTATCCTAAGCCGAACATGAATAACATGATGTTTCCCCGCGAAGGGCTATGAGGCATGACTACAAGCATGCACACTGACTGCTGAAACATCCTGGTGAATTCTGTTCTAGAAGCTTCTTACAGGAGATGGAGGGGTGGGTGGAGGCAGGGTAATGGAACTTACCAGGTACATAGAGAAGATATTGGGAAACAGGTATTTTAGTAAAGGCCCTCTCTGGATCAAAGCAAAAATACCAAAAGCTCAAGTGTTTACTAGAAAAATCATTATGCCTTTAACTAATGTGGGGTTTTTATTTGTTTGTTTTTTTTTTGTTGTTGTTATTTTGTTTTTGTTTTGTTTATAGAGAGTCAGTAACTAACATCAAATGCTGAAATCCAGGAACAGCCCTGCTGGTACCAGAGAACCGGCTTGTGCAGAATTTCAATCCTTTCTGGTTCTGATCCAAGTTAAAGTTTGGTAGCATGAAATACCTTTTTTTTGTACCTGTTAAGGGCATAGCTCTACACTGACAGGCAAAACAATAACTATTTTCAAAGGCTTCAAAGTGATGGGCTCCCTCTTCTGGTCCACGTGCATTCAAGCAAGAGGCTGGACCATTTCATGGGAAGAGCTCCATTACTGACTGCTTCATGGCCACACAAGGTCCTAGCCTTTGAATTTACAGATCAGGGACCCAAGCCCACAGGACAGTGAACAGCCCAGGTCACGGCTATGGTTTAAAACTTGGAAACAAACCCAAGATCCTGATGAGGTCCGATGCCCTGATATTGACTAACATGCGCACAGTTGTCTGGGGGTTTAGACAGGCATAAACTTCAGGACATTTTCATTTACAACTGGTTTTATAAGTCGGTAAAAATGCCTCCCCATTCTGCCTAATTCTTCCCTTGAGAGAACAGATGAGATGGGATGGTTGCTTACCACTTCCCTTACAGTGCTGAATGCCCAGGAACTCATCAAAGGCCTGAAGCACAGAGCTCTGGGCTGCGCTTCCTCCGGAGTACCTCAGAGGCTCTGTGGCCACACCCTCGTAGACCAGTCCCACAGGCATGGCTGGGTTGTCCTTCCACCTAGGCAGGAGTCAAAAAAAAGAAGAAGAAAGAGTGGAGAAGGCTGCTCCAGGGAACAGCGTCTTCTCTGCCGTGAACCCTGAGCCTGCGGGGAAGCGGGCATGGCATTAACAGTGGTTTGAGGCACGGAGAGTGGATCTTGCCAGGGTATCCAAGGAGGTGTTAGCTGGACTTCAGCTTCACACCCTGCCGTGGTATTGGAGCCTTTCTCTGCCCCATTTAAAGGATTCTTCCAGAGAGGCGAGGACGGGAATCTTACTCATTGGTCTTACTGCCGTGATTTAAACAGCTCCGTCACATACGTGCATCTGTGACATCAGCGCCACCAACAGGACACAAGCACACACAGACACTCAGCTGTTATCCCCTGAAACACTGAAATGTTCGTAGCGTTACACAGGTGGATTGGCTTTGATTTCTCCGTGAGAACTGTTATCAAACCGTTTGGGTTTGTCACAGCAGGCACTGATAACAAGCCTGGCTAACAAGAGCAGCCATATAACCAAGGTTGTGGGCACCAAAGCCTACAGACGGCTGCAAGGACAAAGCCTGGGACCCCTGCCCACACGCCTCTCCTTTCCCCTCTCTCCTCTCCATGGCCGTCTCTTTCCACCTCTCTCTCTTATATTTACCCCCCCCATGACTTTCCCTAGTCTTGACTGTTACCCGAAGCACAGCAAAGCAGAGCACATGACCTGCCCCCTGTGGTGCCTACCCTTTACAAACGCATGCGCACCCACTTTCTCACCCCGGCCACGCGGCAGGAGATGAGGCTAGGCAAGTTTTACCTTCTTTCCTAAAGTGACAGAGACCTGAGCTCAGTTCCCAGACGGGACGTACCAGGATAACAGGACCCGACACCCTCACCTTGCATTCCAAAGCTTGCATGTCTGTAGTCCTTTTCCTAAGAACTTTATCACATTCTACCTCCACCAAGAAGCGTGTGCTCCTCTTTTGCCAATGAACAAAGCATCCCCTGGGTGACAGGGTAAGTGGCAGGCTTACACTGGTGTCTCTGCTCCTTGTCGTTCTAAGCCATTGTGTTCAAAGAAGGGACATGTGGACCCCCTACATTCGACAGCCGCAGGCTGACTCCCCTCCCTGCATGCTGAACCTCTTGAAACTCTGCTCTGGGATTGCAAATGCAGCAAGGAGCCAGATTGACCCATTTGGGGGCTTTTTGGGGTCAACTGCCCCAGGAATTTCCATGGTCATCAACTGGAGCAGTCACATTCAGGAAGGAGGTACAGCACAGGAAGCAGAAGAGGGGATCCACAAGAAGGTGGGGGCCCACAGGCTGTGGGACAAGGTCTCTATTCTGGGAAGATACAGAATTTAAGCTCAACTCTGCTGTGCTAGTTGGCTGGCCTGGCTTTATCACATTCAACTTCCCAGAGCCTTGGCTTCCTCATCTGAGTAGTATGAGTATGAACTGAAGTCCCTGGGCAGGGGAGGCAGGCCTGGGTTAAAGATTCTGCAAGGCTAATTGACTGACTGGTTGTGGAGAGTTGGAATGTTGACGATCCAGAGCCAAAGGTCGCTGGGCTATCTTTAACCCCCTCCTGTCTGACCCAATGTCTCTGGGACTCTTTGGAATGTGCTGACTTAACAGAGGACAAGTTTCTACCACCCCACAGCTGAGAGCGCCATCACGTGCCATCTACATGTGACCGTGTGTAGAGCTGTCCTTGTTTGCTATAACTTGCCTGTCTGAGGTCCCCATCAGTGTACCCACAAAATCTCTTGGTTGGCAACTTTCTTTTGTCCTTGAACTACAAAAACTCATCCATTCATTCCCACACTGGACCATGTTATTTGGAGACAACTTGAATTTGTGTTTCCGGGCACTCATGTTTGGCCAAAGAATAAACTTAACTCGTATTCCTTTGAAGTAAGAGCTGTGTTTTGCGCTGACATTCATATTTATCTTATTGGTCACTGTAAGAACTAACTCAAGTACTATTTGCCTGGAACAGATTAAACATCCAGTAAGCACCAGCCATTTATTGTTCTAGCAACCCGGGAGAGTGAGAATGCCTGCCGCTGCCGCTCTCATCTCTCAGCCGCAGTGGACAAGCCTTTCTGAGCCTCCGTTTCCCTAGTTTGTAGAGAAACCTGCTTCCTGAACCTGTTCGGGGAGTTGAATGGGCTTCAGAGGGGTTTATGAACAGCCCACAGACTATCAGAGTTCAGGGCTAGTGAAATGGGAGAGCGACACTTTATGAGGAGGAAGCGGCCTGACTGCTGTGGGGATAACGGACCTGGTCCACACCAGCACATCTGTGTGAAGAGCTGCCATGTGCACATCACGCTCCTGTTTCTCTGTGGTCCACTGCACGAGGACCCACCGGATGCATCCACTCCAACTCTTCCCTCATCCTCAAGATGACTGACACTCATCTCCACCTCAGCTTCTCTTCTTCCCCTTTGGTCCACCTCTGAATGCCTTCCTTCCAACCTTGTTCTCCACCACCCTGCCCCACTCAGCAGCTCGACTGACAACCTGAAGCCCCAAGCAGATCAGTAGTCATCCTCGGACTGTGCCACTCCGAACGGAAACCGGAACTGCCCACGTCGTCTGGCCTCCACAATGACTGGCATCCTTCTCACTCTCCTGCACATCTGACCCTGTTCTTCATGTCCGCTCCCTCCTCGAGGTCATAGCAATTGTTCCCTTTGCTCGGAGCAGGAATCCACGTGGCCTGCTCTGTTGCCCATGCAATCACATGTCACCTGGGATGTGGTGTTTCTGGATACCAAAAAAACAAGATACCCGACCCACCACACCTAGAGGTGCCTCCCTAGTACCCTACATCCTACCTGGCATTGCCCCACGCAGCCTCAGGTGGTAACATACCTAGTAGGGTGTTTGCTTCGACTAGGTTTGTTTACTCAGCATCAGTCTCCTCTCCATCCTGATCACACACTCCAGGAGGGCCTCACAGCTGCTCCTCTTGACTGCTCTTTCCAGCACATACAACAGTGTCTGGAATGTGGTAAGCCCTGACCATGTATGTACTTGATCAATGAATGAATGAATGAATAAATGAACGAATGGAAAATGAACAGTCCTCAAGTCAGTGTTGAAGGGACTCTGGCTAGCTCAAGTGTGGCAAGCAGGCTCCGGCAGGCCTTGCCCTTCTCTCCCATTCTCTCTGGCTAAAAACCTTTAGATCTTTAGATTGTACTCCCAAAGCTGGCCCCCAAGGTTCATTCCCTTATTTGGCCAATCCCTCCTCCTGAGACTAATAACTATCAAGGCCCAGCTATCAAAGCATTGAAATCCAGCAATCAAAAGCCCCCTTTGGCTCCCCTAATTAACATGCCCAATCAAAATTAAACACCTCATCCTAACACTAGGTTTCCCCCTTTACCTCTATAAATGGCCATTTGCCCATGTGCCACATCTGTCTCCTCTCTATCCAGAGGCAGTCCTTTGTCCTCTGGGACATATGCCCCTGCCCCTATTCCCTGGTCCCCTTCCCCTTCTCCTTCATCCCCTGTCTCCTTTACCACACATCCTAGCCCATTCTGACACAGACCTCCCCTTCTTCTCCTCTTAAAATTACACCTGCAAGGTCATTTGTGGCTGTTTTTCTGCCCGAGTCAGAAAGCAGCTACTTTTAACTTTTCTTCCCTGCTTAAGAAAGGGTCTCTCTGTGAAAACAGGCATTTGGGTGTGGTTTGTGCTTAATCAGGGTCTGGGAGGGAGCCCTCCCCCCCTACCCAGTGCAGGAGTTCCCCCTTCAAGTATGTCACAGGCAGAAAACTCAAGCCAAGAGCTTGAAAAAGCCCAGCTAGCCTAAGAGAACGATCAGACGTGGTGGAGGCAGGGAATGCACCAGGAAGTGTCCGTTCAGCACACACTGGAGTGGCTGTGCCGAAGCCAGCCATGCTGACCGTGACAATCACTGCAGGTGGGCAGGTGACAGAGAACCTGGGTCTCCCTTCACACTCCACAGCTACATCAGACTCGTGGGACTCACCATCTCACAAGTCTGTGAGCATCTCTCACAGGCATTCACAGGCTGGGCTGCTGTGTGTGAAGGGATGGGGCCGTTTTCATTTCCGGTCTCTACGGTAAGGTTATTTTTAGCCCTTCTGGTGTTATTTCTAGCAATCCCCAGGAAAGGGGAAGTGGAAGGAGACAAGAAAAATGAAGTGACATTTCCCCCCGGAGGAGTGCCTGGCCTTCCAGGGAACTGTGATGGGCTGGGAACTGAAGGGATGCATCTCATTTCCACATGAAATCCTCTCCTTAAAAAAGTGCGTTTGAAGAAGCAAATGAGAAACCACGGACCGGAAGCAAGACGGATGCAGAGTGAGGAAACTGACATTTTAAAGACAGGACTAATGGAAGTTCTCAACGATGTTTTGAAACTATAGCTACATTTAGGATTTGGTCCGGCCACTTAGCCGCACAGGAAACAGTCTCAGGGACAGGAGCCGAGGACAGGCTCTATGTAGACACCAGATTAAAAAGTGTCACTACCCGGAACTTATTTTGACGAAAACCAAGCTCCCTTCTGGTTCCTGTCATGCCTGTGATAAAAAGAGGAAGTAGAATTTATTCCTTTGAAAGACCCTGGTGGGTAGAATTCTAAAATTAGTCCCCCAAGATTACCAACTGAATTCCTAGGACGCTTAATACGATGAGATGTTCCCGTCACTGTGATGTATTACATGGTGAGGCAGAAGGGCTGTTCAGATGCAGTGAAGGTTGCTGATCAGTTTAGCCTTCGTGTGGGAATGTCCCTGACTCATCCAACTACCCTGAACCCAACCACATGAGCCCTTTTAAGGGAAGCTTCCCCTGGCTGGTGGTCAAGGGAGAAGTCAGGACAATGTGTAGTTCTAGAAAAATTCCAAGTGCCGCCACTGTGTCCGAAGACAGAATTGGTAAGGTGGGGGGACAACATAGGAGGCCTCTAGCAGCCCAGATATCATCTCTACACACACACACACACACACACACACACACACACACACACACACACACACCAAAGCAAAACCTTGATCTGCTTGCACTAACTGAGTTGGGAAGCGAGGTTTCGCTCACATTCTCAGCTAAAGCCACCTTGGCCTAGGCATTGTTGGTGTATGTATATCCACAACCCCAGAAGCCAAGGAGGCTGAGCAAAGAAAACACAAGTTCAAGACCCGCTTGGGCTACATAGTGAGATTATGTCTCAACAATCCCATAATGAGAGTCCAGCCCTCCAACTCCCTAGACTTCGGCCCCTAGAGACCCTAACAGATGGCACTCTGGGCTTGCCTGGGCTTTGAGGCCACAGAACTGAGGGAACAGACAGGTATTTAAAGCTGTTGAATATCACTACCAAGAGCTGACAGGGGGGTCAAAGCAGGGAAAAGCCTGGGGAGGCCTGACTCACTGACCGGATTTGGTATATGCTTGCTGTAGGGTCTCATTTAAAAAAAAAAAAAAAAAAAAAGAGGCCTATGTTACTTCTTAGATCCAAACTGTCGCCATGGGGAAACACTTGAAAGAATCAGCCTATCAGAATGTAAAGTTGTTTTGGTGTGATTAGAGGTTTGGTCCTTGGACCCTTGGTCTTATGGCTTTGGCTGTGGCTGAGGGATGTATCATGGTGGAGAGAACATGGAAGAACAAGGCTGATGACCTGAGCGCTGGGGTCTCCCAAGCCCTTCAAGGGCATAATTTCCTTCCAGGAGTGTCTACCTGTCTTCCATAACTTCTCATTAGCGCCATAGGCTGGCAGCCAAGCCTTCAACACACGGCCTTCGGGGCTGGGTAGAATCCATGCTGTACACCCCTGTAGCTCATCGGCCTCTGTATTTCTCTCAAGTTACTCCCTGGAAATCTTCTTGTTTCTAATCTTTACAATTCACCACCCAAGCCAGACACCCCACCCCCTTAAAGTGTCCCACAGCTCTCTAAATTAAAGGAAGTACATCCATTTTGTTTGTCTCCCGATGGGACATGGCAATAATAGATTTAGCATTTGGTCTGCCTCTTGCAGAGTCCAGGCACAGCTTAGAGTCTTTCTCTCAACAGCATCCCATGCCCCTCCCAAGTCAATAAGACACAAACATTCGAAAGTGACTCAAGTCTGGTAGTTGGTGAATTGGATGACAATCTGATTAAGGTATGTCAAGGTAGGAATAACTGGGAGAAGAAATGTGCTCAGTATGAGTGTGTGTGTGTGTGTGTGTGTGTGTGTGTGTGTGTGTGTGTGTGTGTGTGTAGAGAGAGAGAGAGAGAGAGAGAGAGAGAGAGAGAGAGAGAAGAGAGAAGAGAGGGACAAGAGGGGAAGGGAAAAGAGGGAGGCAGAAAGAGAGAGACAGACAGAGAGGTGGGGCATCATACAGCCATGAGTCAAAACAAGGGTACCCAGAGTCAGTGAGGAATGGCCTAGCAAGGGCCTTGGACTATCCCTGCTACCACACAACAAAACCACCAAACTGTATCCCCCCAACTCTGAGGGCCAGGGACTCTAAGAGCAGGACAGCCATGGTTCAGTCAGGTGAAGACCTGGACCCTGGCTTCCAGATGGGTCCCTGGATGCTATGCCCTCATAAGGTCAAAGGGCAAAGGGGAAAAATGTGACTGCTACTTTCTGGCCTTCCTCTCCTCTACCCCTTCCTCTCTCCTCTCTCTCCTCCTCTTCTTCTTTCCCTCCACACCTCTTTCCCTACTCCTATCTTTTATTTTTTGTCCCTGACATCAAGTTGAGCTTCTAAGAGGATCCATGGCTCCAATCTGGTGGCCAATGACAATCCCTGTGCACGTAAGTACCCGGGCTTGTAGCCCTTTTCCTTCTGATGGTGCCTGGGGTCCATCCTCCTAGAGTGGACCCAGGCGGTGACTGCCAGCTCTGGTCACTTGCTATATTTCTTACTTTAGGAAGTTTTTGTCTGTCTGTCCTCACACCAATTTGGGAAACTGCACACTCTCAGGCAGGAAACCAACTGGACTGTACTTACCCAGAGAGGAAGAGCCGGATGACTGTGTAAAATATGTCTGGGTCGACATAATCTGGAAAACAATCAAATGTGAACTTTACCACAGGCAAAACGCAATTGGCCACAGGTGCCTGGACCCTTCTGCTTTCCTGGGGCTCCCCCACCCCTATCTGATCTATGCAGAGCCCAGAATGGAAGCAGCAAGCACAGATGGAATGTTCCCTTGCAGAGGGGCATGGACCCTCACAGGGCTGTTAATCCATTCCTTATGGCGGCCGCCTCTGTTTTCGGTATTTCGGTTTTCTGTACTTCACCACCACCACTAAGAGATTAAGATTATCCTTTTAAAAAGTAATGTTTTAAATAGACATGATGTGTTAGGGAATATGGTAAGCTAAGAAAGGAAAGGCAGATGACCAATGTCCAGAAGTTCCTGTGTCAGCTGAGGGCTTCCCAGGGGTTGTCACCGCAGGTCAACAAGGCTATTAGCCCCAAGTGGCATTGGCCAGCATGGGCAGCCATGCTTGGGGAGGATGGATTCTGTTCTGTATGCCCTCCTACCTAAGAAAGCGTGCCATCATGGCTACATAAATTCCAAACGTCTTTGATCAGCTTTGAAAGGTTGATCTCACTACATTACTGAGGTCCTCTGCCTTCTGGAAACTAGTCCACATTTATCTTGCATTTCTTTGTTTCTGAGAGAAAAGGAAACATCCTTTGATAAAGTCTAACTAACAACACACCCTTCCAATCACTTTCCCTTTTCTCCTGTCACACATGGAGTCCAGTTCTTCGTCCCTTCTCCCTGTCCATTTTCTCTGAAGCCCACAAGACCTGGGATGGCATAGCCTCAATGTTTTGATACACTCCTCCATGTGGCCATACTCTCTCGTCTCAAGTGTGAGTGACTATGTCCCATGTGCTAGACTGTTGTCTGGGACCTCTCCTGGGTACTGGTGTTCTCTCTCATCCATATTGTTAAGTATGTATACAGCTCCTTGCAGAAGAAGTAATAGTGTGTACTGAATTACTCTTTTACACAACTTAATGTATTAAAGGTAAAGCCAAGTGATCATTGTGATAGATACAACAGGATTTGCATGAAAATGTAAAATATATTCAGTGGATGTTTTAAAAGTGATTCATGAAAGAAGGACCTAAGAAGAAAGCTGCTGTGGCCATTTTAATATCTGACAAACTAAACTTCAAATCAAAACTAATCAGAAGAGATAGGGAATAACATTACTCAAAGGAAAAAAAAATCCGCCATAAGGATATTGCAATTCTCAACATCTGTGTACCAAACACAAGGACATCCGAGTTCAAAAAAGAAACACTGCTAAGCATTAAATCACATATTGATTGACCTCAAGATCCACTCTTGGACATATACCCAAAGGACACTTCATCCTACCACAAGGACACTTGCTTAACGATGTTTATTGTTGCTCCATTCATAATAGCCAGAAATTGGAAAGAACCCAGATGTCCTTCAACAGATGAATGAATAAAGAAAATGTGGTGCATTTGTGCAATGGAATATCACTCTGCTGTTAAAAAAAAACTGAAATTATGAAATTCACAGGTAAATAGACGGAACTAGAAAATAATCATCCTGAGTGAGGTAACCCAGACCCAGAAAGATAAATATAGTATGCATTCACTTATAGGTGGATATTAGCTGATAAGTCAGTGGTAACCAAGCTACACTCAGTAGAGCTGCAGATTAGGTATAGAGCATGGGACTAAATAGAATAGATAATTAAAGATGGATGGGGGGAGGGGGCTAGAACAGGAAAATCAAGTGAGGATGGGGAGGGAAAAGGAGCGTGAGGGAGGGAATACAGGGAGAGATAGTTAAAATTAAGGGCCATTTGAGGAGTAGTTTAGAAGCCCAATATACTAGAAGCTTCCTAAAATATATTCATACACGAAAGTGATCTCAATAAAATCACCAAACAATGGCGGACACAGAGCCCCGAGTGGACACCTCTTGTCATCAAATAAAGCCTCCGGTACAGTGATTGGGTTGAGTTGTTGGCCAAAGAGATCATCCCATGGGAACCCCCAAACAATCCAGGTTGTTGCCAAGACTACAAGCTGCTCTCCATAAACTGACAAGTCCCCCATTACTGAAGACAACACCTGTACAACTCAGTGAACACGGAGAAGTCAAGCTGGTGTCTACATAAAGCCTTCACCCCTATGTGCCAGATTCTTTGGTACAGGGAGGCACTCTGCGCTCTACCGAAGGAGCACCATAAACAAGCCAGCCACAAACCATTTCATCTACAATGTGTCCTGCCTGCAAGGCATGGTACTACAATCATGGCGCCAAGTTTGTGGGGGCAGCTAACCAATATCTGATTTGACTCAAAGCCCGCTCCACAAAAGAAACCCACAACCAACATTGCTTGGGTAACCAAGAACCTGAAACTGTATAGTCCAGGGACCTAGGGAAAAACCAAATAATACTGGTCTAAAAATTAAAAACAAAATCTTAGCAAGAACATAACTGATGACATGCTGCTGTACTCATAGATCAGTGCCTTGCTCAGCCATCATCAGAGAAGCTTCCTTCTGCAGCAAATAGGAACAAATAGAGAGACCCATGGCCAGACAGTGTGCAAAGAGTAACAGACCTTGGAACACTCAGATCTAAATGGATTTGATGTCTCCATCAAATCCCTCCTCTCAGGGCTCAGGACACCCCATGGAAGAGGAGGCAGAAAGAGTGTAAGAGCCAAAGGGGATGGAGGACACCAAGGAAACAAGGCCTTCTAAATCAAGAGGATTGACACACATGAACTCACACAGACTAAGGCAGCATGTACAGGACCTGCATGAGTCTGCACCAGATGGGGTCCTAGAGCTGAGAGGAGAAGTGGACACATGTCCCCATCCCTAACCCAAAGGCTATCTCCAATTTATAACTACTTACAAATGAAAACTTAGTTTTCTCTAAGGGGGTTGCAGGAAGTCAGGACAGGAACTCAAGCAGGGCAGGAACCTGGAGGCAGGAACTAATGCAGAGGCCACAGAGGGGTGCTGCTTACTAGTTTGCTCCTCGTGGCTTGGTCAGTCTGCTTTCTTATAGAACCCAGGACCACCAGCCCAGGGATGGCACCACCCACAATGGGCTGGGCCCTCTCCCATCAATCACTAATTAAGGAAATGCTTGCCTGCAGTCAGATCTTATGGAGGCATTTTCTTAATTGAAGTTCTCTGTTCTCACTTTAGCTTATGTCAAGTTGAAATAAAACTAGCCAGGACACACACACACACACACACACACACACACACACACACACACACAAACGTATATGTTTGCTTCTCCTCCTCCTCCCTCTCCTCCTCCTCTTTTGTACCACCCTACAGGTCCTTTGTGTGTGTACTATGGTTCCCAGTATAGTGTTTTTATGGTATTCCTGATGATGCGACTAGTTGCTCTCTGCATCTATATTTGACTTTGTGCCTTTTCTCGGGTTCTTTTCCATCTGCCTGTCTTGTCCAACTCCAATCTGATAGTTTTGTTTTGTGTTATTATTACCCCCATAGAAGCCTGTTTGTTTTCTAATGAGACACAGAAAGGGGGTAGATCTGGATGGGAGGGAGGGTCGGGGAGAACTGGGAGGAGAAACTGTAATCAGGATATATTGTGTGAGGGGAAAAAAACCTATTTTCAATAAATAGAAAAAAAGAATTAATGATGAACCTAAGCATACTTCTCAGCAGGATTTCCATATAAACATCAGATAACCTGACAATGTTTACCAAAGTGTTCAATTCCAAGTTAATGTTCAAACACTGGTTTCATTCCATCAGTTAGAAATGAACAGCGAAGAGATAATTAAATAAAAAGATACCTTTGCTAAACACAAAAATTGCAAATAACTATTAATAAAGCAGAATATAGGCATATCAGTATGCCTTACCTTGAAAGAAACTCAAGTAAACATGTGCATGAAAACACAGATTCATACAACACGTTCACACACAGGGAAACTCGATGTTCAATGAAGATAGGAACAGAGAGATGAGTCCCTGCATTGGAAGCTATTTCAAGCATGTGACAGATAAAGACTACCCAGCAACAGCGACAGATGATTTAGAAGGGTCATCAGGAAGCGCTGGCTTATATTTTATGTTGCTTCTTACTTCTCCACCTGCTTTCCTTCCAAGACAGAAGCTGGATATAATATCACAGTGCCTATTTGATAAGCTTGAGCCAAGTCCCAACAGAGGGTTGTTTGTTTGTTTGCTTGTTTGTTTGTCTGTTTTTGTGGTACAAAACAGTTCACATGAGAGACAAAGGATGGGCTCCTGAAGGAGAAAACCTGGATGGAGAACGTTCCTAAGAGAATGAAGAAGAATCTGAAGGCGTGGGGACCAGAGGAAGACAGATCCAGAGGGGAACAGAGCAGAGACCGCGAAGCAAACCTGTTCCTATAAGAAAATCTAACGAGAGACAGTGTTGATGCAAGAGGGAATTGAATCCATTTCCCATCTCATAGTATATACAGATGAAATATGAAACAATAACAACTTTAGAAGAAAATATGGGCAACTATATTTCCAACCTGCTTTTTTGCTGAATAAATTTCTTAGGCAAGAGCTCATGAACAGTCCTGTGGCCATATTTCAGTTAAGAGCTTTTGCTTGCAAAAGGCATTAAACAAATCTTATTTGTAGCACGTGTAGTTAGCAGCCACCCTACCGTATGAAAGGTGTCCACGTGCCTCCTGTGGTTGGAGGTCACGGTAGAGGACTGGGCAGCACCTGCTGAGTCTAAGACGAAAAGGGCTTCGGTCTGACTGGGCTGTAAAACCTTCCTGGAGCCCCTGTGTGGTCCATGAATCAGAGCCCATGACACAGGTGAGGGAGGAGGTTAGGAAGGATGCTACGGAGGCCAGGCCAGAGACATGATGGCGTCAGTCAAAGGAACCGATGTAAACAGTATTCAAGAAAGCAACTCCAGTTAAGTGTGGTGGTGAAGTGTTGTTGCCTCTAGCCCTGAAAAGCAGTGTAGGGGTTCTTGCTAAAAAAGAAAGGAAGGAAGAAAGAAAGAAAGAA